GTAGGAAGTGTCTCACTTTGTGCAACAGCTCAGTCGAGCTGGGCTTAGGGTGGCATCGGACAGAGTCCCTCTGACGACAGCGTCTGGTGCTAGATAGGAACTGTGCCGCTCTCCTCACCTACCTGAGCGACTTGTGCCCTGCCTTGCCTTTAGGAAGCAGCAGTAGTGGACTGCAAATAAAGAAGTTTGTGGAAATTATGCTAAGGCACGTGGAAAAGGAGGAGGTGATTGGCGACAGCCAACACAGCTTCCCTAAGGGCAAATCGTGCCTGACAAATCTGGTGGCCTTCAGTGATGGGGTTGCAGCATTGGTGGATAAGTGCAGAGTGACTGATGATGTGTACCTGGACTTGTGCAGAGCATCTGACACTGTCCCACGCGACATCCTTGCCTCTAAATTTCATGGATGGGCCACTCAGTGGATAAGGAATTGTCTGGGTGGTCACACTCAAAGAGTTGCAGTCAACGGGTCAACGTCCAAGGGGAGAGCAGCAATGAGTGGAGTCCTCAGGGGCTTTGTCAGCAACACGGACAGTGGGACTGAGCCACCTGCAGCAATTTCAGCGATGACACCGAGCTGTGTGGTGCGGCTGACACACTGGAGGGAGGGGCTGTGTCATTCCAAAGGACCCGGGCAGGCCGGAGAGGTGGGATGTGCAAACCTCATGGAGTTCAGCAAGGCCAAGTGCAAGGTCCTGCCCGTGGGTCGGGGCAATCCCAAGCACAGGTTGGGCGACAAGGGATGAGAGCAGCCCTGAGGAGAAGGACTTGGGGGTGCTGGTGGGTGGAAAACTGCCTGTGAGCCAGCGCTGGCAGCCCGGAAAGCCAACGGTGTGCTGGGCTGCACCCAGAGCAGGGTGGGCACAGGGCGAGGGGGGGATTCTCCTCCTCTGCTCCGCTCTGGGAGACCCCCCTGCAGGGCTGGGCCCAGCTCTGGGGCACCAACAGCAGAAGGACACGGACCTGCTCCAGCGGGGCCAGAGGAGGCCACAGAGATGCTGGGGGGGCTGGAGCCCCCCTGTGAGGACAGGCTGTGAGAGTTGGGGGGTTCAGCTGGAGGAGAGAAGGCTCCGGGAAGACCTTAGAGCGGCCCCCCAGGGCTGAAAGGGGCTGCAGGAAAGGGGAGGCCACTCTGGATCATGGATGTAGGGACAGGGCAAGGGGTGACAGTTTTAAACTGAGTAAGAGCAGACTGAGATTAAAATAGAAGGAAGAAATTCTGCCCTGTGAGGGGGGTGAGGGCCTGGCACAGGCTGCCCAGAGCAGCTGTGGCTGCCCCCTCCCTGGCAGGGTTCAAGGCCAGGTTGGACGGAGCTTTGGGCAACCTGGGCTGGTGGAAGGTGGCCCTGCCCGGGGCAGGGGAGTGGGACTGGGTGATCTTTAAGGTCCTTTCCAACCCAAACCATTCTATGATTCTATGATTAGGTCAAGGTCATCTTTTCTCTCTTCTTCCAGGTGTCTTTAACACCACTAAAGAGCCTGGTAAAACCACGTGTTTCTTGCCGTGGGTCACTTTGTGTGGAAAAAGGCAAAATCTGTGAAAATAAAAGCCTTGGTTAGTCCTTGCATTTAAAATAATTTATGTTTTTGTGGTGTGTTTGGTAATACATACTTAATAAATTACGTACATTAAGTAATTACTACATGCTTAATAAACCCTACATCCTAAACTAACCCTGTAAGAACCAGTCAGAGCATCGTTCCCAGTATAGCCCTGACCCAGTCCATCTCTACGTGGCAGGCTCTGGTCTCCCCAAGCGAAGTTATAACCTTTCTCCTCCGAAAAATAAAAGGTCGGATATTGCACATTGTTTCCAGAAAACATTGACTCCCACAGACCGTTACAGAAGCATAAACAACATTCCTCCTAACGGCCTGTTTCCTGAGAAAACATTTTAATTCTATGTAATTCAAGTCAAGATCAGCCTTTACAAAATTTCTCAATTTCCCTGGCTTGGGAGCAGCCTTTGAACAAACACCAGAGCAGTTTCTGTGGCAGAGGTGCTCCAGGAACGGCGCTGCGGAGCGGCACTGCTTCGGGTTGCTCTTCTGGCAGGAACAAATCCCAGGGGTTTATCTTTTGTCTCCGTTGCACAAGGCCGGGTTTTTGCTCGCTGCTGGAGCATCCCAGCCTGGTTTTGCACGTGGGTACGTACCTCGCTTTATCAGCTGCCCCGGCAAGGGGCATGCACTGGTGGAAGGCGGCAAACGGCTGTGGATTTATCCTCTAAATACCATGGATGTGACTAGAGGCCCCTGGCTAATAACCTGCTTTTTTGCACTTACCTGGCTTTTCTCTATTGCTCCCTGTTAGAGGTGAGAGGATTACTAAAGGTGAAAATAATTTCTATAAGCCCAGGAGATGGGTCGGTTCGGGGTCAGAAAATTTGCCAGGTTAAGAAAAAAACTCCACCTCAGCTTGATTGCTTTAAACTAAGCCCCCAGGACAAAATACTGAAACATTAGCCACTGCGAGAAAACATTTCAGGGCGTTTCCGCAGGTTAATAAAAGCATATTCACGTGCTAAGAGAAAAGATAGCGGGTGGTTGGGAGCCCTCCCGGCCCCACCAATTGACCTGCTTGTCTCTGGGCACTGGGCTGGATCCAGCTCAGGAGGAGACAAACCCCGTGGTCCAGAGCAGCTTCGTTTTCCCAGGAGTGGAGAGAAGAGCTGGTCAGGGGGGAGCCCACAAACCACGGCTGCAGCTTTTTATGTGGCCAAATACGTGGGAATGGCTGCAGCTGAAATCCATACGGGACCAGAGAGCATCTGCTCAGGTGGGACATCACAGGCACTTCAGAGATGCCCAGGAAACACCTCAACAAATGAGACATAACGTTTACCAATGGGGTTAACTGATGATGTGTAGTTTCTGGGTGCGAGATTGCATCAGTCGAAAGCTGCCCATTTATTAAGGAGGATTTTAAAAAGCAAGATACGGCCTCCAGAGCCCCGTGATCTCCTCATACATCTAGTCTGCCCTTTCAGATAAGGGAGGGAAAGGACACGATGCAGTCTGTCACAAATGTCACTCTGCCCTAGGGCTCCCGCTGCACCCCCCATTTCGTCCCATTTACCACCGAAACACCCACACACCAGTTTGTAGACGGTGCCCTCGACGGTGCCCGTGGGCTGTACGCCCCGGCCAGCAGCTCTGGGGCATGAGGACACCCCTCGGTCACCCCCCGCACACCCCTCGGACCCCCCCTTGCTCCGGATACCTCAGGACAGGAGGGGCGAGGCGGGGGGGCTGCAGAGAGCTCCTCACCCTGAAGCACCCCCAAAGGTTACCTGCGCCCTGCCGCGCTGCTCTGAGTCCTCCAGCTCCCTGGGACCTGCCCCAGCAGCGGAGCGCAGGCAGCTTTGAGCAGGCTTTGCTGTCTTCAGGGGAAAAACGGTGTAGAAAAGGAAGTCTGTTCCCCGATTTTCAGAAATTTCTATTTTCTTGAGCCTGGCAGCCTAGAGAGGCACAAGCTACTGCACCGTATCCATGCTGCATTACGTACTCGCAAGAAACCTTATCTGAGCATCACAACTTCATGCTTATCTAGATGAAGGAGCAAAACCAGCTACTGCAAAGAGTTGCAGCTTCCAGCTAATGATGCCAACAAAAAGATACGAAGGTGACAGCAGCATACAACAGCTGGCAAGCTCCTCGTGCCGCTTCAGGTCCCCCTCCCCTGGGCACTGCAGTGTTCCAAGCTGCCGTGGATTCCGCAGGGGCTTCTTGGCTCTGCTACAGGCCGGGGGATCAATCCTGTGCTGGGGACTAGGCAGAAAGCGCTGAGCAGCTCCCACAGTCCCCCAGATGCTGGCAATGCAACGCGAGCAGGTTCGGAAAAGCTCGTGCTTAAGCAAGCTCAGCGTTAGTCCTGCTCGTTACGGGCTTGGTGAGCACCCAGCGGTGGCAGACTGCCGTGCCCGTTCTCACACACATTTGCCCGGTCTGTCGAGCCCGTTAACGCAGGCTCGTACCCACCACAGTCGCCATTTCTGGATGCGGAGAAGCCCCTGCCCCAGGGGATGATCCCAGCTTGCAGCTCTGGTGTCCGCAGCGCCTTGCACAGCGTTGAGCGTGGCTTCACTTCCACGTTTGTAGCATCATCTGAGTCTTTTTTCAATAATATCCCTAAATCAGCCATAACACAACCACTGCTTATCACACCCTGACTCCCACTGAAATACCTTTTTCATTAGTGTCAGAATTCATTAACTCATTAATTACATCATTTATTCACTTCCCTACTCCTGATCATTCCCAGTTCAAACTGAGACACTTCAGAATATCCCAACAGTTTGGATTTCCACTTGCTGTCTTTTTCTCCAGTCTCCAGAGTTTCTCCAGAAATGCTTTCTATTCTTATTCTTATTCTTATTCTTATTCTTATTCTTATTCTTATTCTTATTCTTATTCTTATTCTTATTCTTATTCTTATTCTTATTCTTATTCTTATTCTTATTCTTATTCTTATTCTTATTCTTATTCTTATTCTTATTCTTATTCTTATTCTTATTCTTATTCTTATTCTTATTCTTATTCTTATTCTTATTCTTATTCTTATTCTTATTCTTATTCTTATTCTTATTCTTATTCTTATTCTTATTCTTATTCTTATTCTTATTCTTATTCTTATTCTTATTCTTATTCTTATTCTTATTCTTATTCTTATTCTTATTCTTATTCTTATTCTTATTCTTATTCTTATTCTTATTCTTATTCTTATTCTTATTCTTATTCTTATTCTTATTCTTATTCTTATTCTTATTCTTATTCTTATTCTTATTCTTATTCTTATTCTTATTCTTATTCTTATTCTTATTCTTATTCTTATTCTTATTCTTATTCTTATTCTTATTCTTATTCTTATTCTTATTCTTATTCTTATTCT